GCCAGGCTTTGTCCCTGGCAGGCTTGGTGCAGGTCCACGCCGGACGAGTCACCGCCTAGGACTTCCGTGTGCAGAACACAGAGCCTTCTTTCTCCGCCGCATGGGAAGAGCAGTCCTGTGCGCAACTACAAAAGGGCTTTCGCCTCTGACCTGGCTTTACCTCAGAGGCCGGATCACGCAGACAAAACCGTGCACTTTGCTGCTCTACAATTAGCCATAATTGTGTTAAATCCATCTGAGAAGGACTGCTTATTTTAAAATATTACCTACAGGATTCTTCGTGATTGGCATACTACCACAGAGTAACATGTTTATGTACAAAATGCAGGCAAAACTTACATAAAAAATGATACGGTTATCTTTGGGGCCTAGGAGTCTAATTTGGCACAATTTAATGTCAACGTAGTTTCCTACACTTTTAAGGTTTCTGCTTTGTAATCACAAAAGAAATGAAAGGAGAACCTTTTACTAAGGATCACTACCTGAGCCCTTCTTTGGAATTCCAAGGTGCTCTGGGAAACTCAGGGCAAGCACACCTGAGTGACTTAGCACCAGGCTCAGGTACAGCTGCACACATGGCTCTGGGCGGCCCTGCCAAAAGCAGCTGTTTTTATGATGGAAAACACAACAGCTGTTTTCACAGGTGCAGAGCAGCAATGCATGAGAAGTCGGTCCCACCAGAGAAGATGCAGTATCTATTTAACATCTGAGGAAGAGGCAGAAAGCGGTGAGCCCCAGTTGAAATCGACGGCGGGGGGGAAAGGGGGAAGCCCTGGATTCAGGAGAACGGGCCTCAGATGGCTGGTCCGCTGGCCCTGTGAGGACCAGAGCCCAGGACCCAGCAGCTGGGAGGCACAAGTTCTGGTCTTGCTCTCACAAGTGGCAGCATCACTGGCTGGTCCCAAACATCAGAATTTCCTTCCTGCAAGATAACGTAGCTATCGCCTTCGTTTCACCAATGAGGAAAGCAAAGCCGAAAGAGGTTACTTTACTCCCGGTCACTGATGCCTGTGCGCTTGCTGATGTAACTGGGCGGCGAGCCACATACCCCATACGGCTGGTGTTCTACTTACACACGCCCGCACCCTTAGTTAACAGTGGGTGTGCCCAACATGGTCTTCACATGAGCCAGTGCAACCTTTTCTTACTTAGACAACGTCAGTTTGGATTTTGTGACAACCCCGATGCAAGCTGACCAGGGCCTGCCTGCTCCAGTGTGCATAAAAAAGTCAACAAATTGGGGCACTTGGGTGGCTCAGCCAGTTGAGCATCCAACTTCGGCTCAGGTCATGATCTCACGGTTCATGAGTTCGAGCCCCCCATCGGGGTTGCTGCTGTCAGCCCGTCACAGCCTAGAGCCTGCTTCGGATCCTCTGGCCTCCTCTCCCCACCCTTCCCCAACTTGCCCTCTCCCAGAAATAAATATTAAAAAAAAAAAAAAAAAGTAAACGAATTAAAGAAGTCCAAAGCCAAAGGAACTATTCATCTTCTCAAAAGCATTTGTTTCTTTATTATAATATTAAAGGCTGGCCTTTCACTTTTAAATGTTTTTTTTTTAAATGTTTTATTTATTTCTAGGAGAGAGAGAGAGACAGCGTGAGCAGGGGAGGGTCAGAGAGAGAGGGAGTCACAGACTGAAACAGGCTCCAGGCTCTGAGCTGGCAGTCAGCACAGAGCCCGACGCGGGGCTCGAACCCACGAACCGCGAGATCATGACCCAAGCGAAAGTCGGACGCTTAACCAACTACGCCACCCGGGCGCCCCTGGCCTTTCACTTTTAGAAAGTGCGGCAGTTCAGCTCTTTCATCGGACACAGTCAGGTTGATCACACAAAGTAACTGACGAGGTCCCCTGGGACAAGTCCTCAGCGTCCCGCCAGCTGACTCCTCCCGGCGCCTGCTAAAGCCAACTGGTCAAGGAACCTGGCCGAGGCGCGACTGTGCAGCAACGGAGAGACCAGCACCCACACTGCTCGCACGCCCTGACGATAAACTCTGCAAGACAAATCCACACAGAAGGGCCTGGAAGGCCACGCGCCACGTGGTCAGGAAAGCTCTCGTGTAGGAAAGAACTCTCATGATCCCCTGGTTTTCCCTCTTTTAAAAAAAATCATTACTCTCTACTTGTGCAGCACGTTTTAATAGCAGAATGACTACACAGAATGTGTGGCGGCATCTCCGGTCTCGCTCAAACACCCGCCCCATCACTCTCCATAAGGAGCTGAGGGGGGGAAGGGGGCAGAGGATAAATCTGTCATGGGGGGCGGGGGCTGTCTGTGAACCTGCAGGTCACTCCACAGCGAAGCGTGTGCTCTGGGGTCACAGTAGTGTGCTGAGGACATCACGGCAGAGTAATAATGCTGCTGGGGAGGTGCGCCAGGCCAGGAGAGGGAAGCAGCAGGTCCCCAGGGACCCAGGGTAATGTAATCAGCAGCACTCAGCTCGGCTGAAAGCAAGGGCAGGGAAATAATAAAGTCGGCTCCCAGCTCCTGGCAGCTTCTCTGTTCAACCTAACGGGGAAACGTGTCCTGAGGGGAGGGCCTCCACCTAGGCCCCCGGCTGACATCTGGAGCCAGGTCACTGTGCCGTGGGGGCCACTCCTGGGCGTGCTAGGATGTTTAGCAGCATCCCTGACCTCTGCCCACTAGATGCACCACCCTCCCCAGTTTTGACAAAAGTCTCCAGACCTTGTCAAAGGTCCCTTTGGGGATAAAAGTGCCCCCCACAACATAGCTGTCCGAGGTCAACTGGAAAAGGTAACCTTCATTTAAAAATGCTAAGATAATGAGAGAAAAGTTGGGGCACCTGGGGGGCTCAGTTACATGTCCGACTTCGGCTCAGGTCATGATCACAGAGTCCATGGGTTTGAGTCCCACATCCGGCTCTGTGCTGACAGCTTGGAGCCTGGAGCCTGTTTCTGATTCTGTGTCTCCCTTTCTCTCTGCCACTCCCCCATTCTCTCTCTCTCTCTGTCTCTCTCTCTCTCTCTCAAGAATAAATATTAACACTTTTTTTTAAATGCTAAGAAAAAGAGAAAAGTTGGCCAAGGTCAGGGACAGTTCACCATATTAGAAGAACTAATGGCCAATTAGTACATGGAAGAGTTAATGTCAGTAGCAATTAAATAAATACTAATTAGAGCACAGACATCCATCAGCAGAGCTGAAGGATAACCTGGGGTTCTCAGGGACACAACAAAAAAGATACTCCTGCAATTTTTAGGTGAGAGCAAAAAATGGTGAAAACAGTTATCAGATGAATATACAAATATGCGTGTAAAAGCACTATTATCAATGCATTGTTTGTAGCAGCAAAAAAAAGTTAATAAGCTAAGTGTCCTCAGCAGGTTAATAACATTATTGTAATCCATGAAATTGACACCATGTGGTCGTTAAAATTATTATAGGCCTATATGTAATATAGAAAGATGTCCATTACAGGATGGTTTTCAAGAGGAAAACAGGCGCTTGCTTCTGCCTGAAAAGTCATGAGAAAAGAAAAAATACTGGGCTGATCTCTGGGTTGTGGGATTTTAGGTTATTACTATTTACATCTTTATGTATTCCAGAAGTAGCTGAAATTCTTCATCGTGAGCAAGAGTTCTTTTAAAATTAGTAATAAATATGACACCGAGTATTCTGTAATTGCCACCTGAGGGGAGGCCCACGGACCCCTGCGTTGTGATTCCTAACGGATGATGTTGGACTCTGTGCGGAGCACTGGGCCCCCCTCCCGCTGACACCCCACATGGCTGATTCTACTTTGCGCTGAAGGGCCTGGGCCTCGGGGGAGGAGACTGCCCAAAGCCCGCGGTCAGCAAGCAGTCACTAACCGCGGGACAGAGTTCTCTCCCGCCCGCGAGGGAGCCACCCCACCACACAAGCAACCTCTCTGCACATTTACAATTTACCTGCAAATCCCAGCCACGGGAAAGGCCTCGCTCAGGGATTGGCAGGTGGTGCTGCCTGTGCCCAGTTCCTCTGAAGCCACACCAACTGAGGCACCTCCTGGGGGCCCGCAGTCTGCCCTGGGGAGCATGCGGACAGCTGGCGTCTCTGCTATAAAACCCTACCCCCGCTTTCCAAGGGGTGCCGAGCTCACCCTGACACCAGCCCCACTGCTGGATCCAGGGCCGCTGCGAGCGCCAGGCCCAGCGGAGGCGGCCCACCCCTCCTCCGTCCCCGACCGCCTCGGCCCCACTCTGCTGTTTCTCTCCCTGGTGGGATACGCCTTTGCGCTCCAGCAACAAGCAAGGCAATTAACATTCAGAACCAGGGGAAATGCTTTAAATTGTCCTCTTACCTTTCCCCGCAAGCACTCAGTAGTAATTTTTTTTTAACTAAAGGTATCTTTGTCTCTTCTTTCACGTTTCCCTAAAATCCCAGCATACATCATGCGCTTTGCTAAACTTCGGGCATGCACAACTAAGGTGAGATCCCTAATTCTAGAAACCCTCAGTCAAGGAAACAAGAAACAAACCACAGAGTGCAGAGTGGGGAGGGGCTCTGGACTGGGAGGCCGGGGAGGCCGATGTTCCAGGTCCTTCAAGGGCTTCATTATGTAGTCTGCAGCGTGGGGAGTTCCCAAACCGTGAACGTATGTTAAACAAACAAACAAAAAAACATATTCCAGGGCCAAATGAAAATGACCTTTGAATTACTGACCCAATTTGGCCTCTGAGACCCCCTTTCCTCTCTTTGGGCCTGGACACCTGAAATTTATACACTCTCGGGGCAGGGGGATGATCATGGAGAAGTCGGCAGAGGAGCCGGCGAGAGGTGACAGCTGACCTGAAGCCAGAGATGAAGTTCCCGTTCCGGTTCTGTGGTTAAATCTCAGTGGGGACTTGGGGAAGTCACTTAACCTGTTTCCTTAGCTATGGGATGGGAATGAATACAAGAGAGCCTAACTCTCTCACACAGCTGTAGGTACCGTTGTGAAAACGCAGAACGTGCTTGTCAGTAATTCAAGTATGAAGTAAAGAGGCACAGGCTGGTCTTCGCTACGAGCGGTTTTCACATTAAGTCTACGTTACATTGCTCACAAGTTCACATAAGCTCCAAGGAGAGACTGATACCAGTGACAACCCACGTGAGACAGACTCCCACACCAGACTGAGGTACCAAAAAGAGTGAGATGCCGAAACATCCCAGACACGCACAGGTCTTTCGCAAAGTCTGATTTAGCACCATGAACGCACAAAGAATCCACAAAGTCCAATGCAGATTAAATAGATTTTCTGGTGGAAAAACACATTAAAGAACAATTGCCAGACTGTTCGCCCCTTAGAAAGCTTATTTAGGGGGACAAACCACTTTGGGAAGATAAGTCTAAGAAGTAACGGAAGGAAGTTAAGGGAAACTTTAACTGCTACACACTGCAGGAACATACTGGAAGGCAAACATGGTCCAGTGAAAAGGCCCTGCTGGAAAAAATATATACATATCGGAAGTGGATTGTAGAACTAGTGCCCTGCTTCAAGGACAACTTGAACAACCAAAAAATGAAGAACACCTTGCCCAAGTGAGTGTCTCCAGGAAAGATCTGTGCGTTAACGTCTGCTGAGAGCAAAGAGCTGTACTACTTGAGGGGCAGGATGTCTTTGATCTGAGGTCCAAAGATCACAGACCTCGAGCCTGAGAGGTTCAGTGTCACACTAGAAACCTGGGGGGGGGTTGCCTCGAGCGTGTGGGCTGCAACTGCATGTCCAGCGTTCATGGACACGTCCCACTGAGGGGAGGAGTAACTCTCTCACAGAACCTTGATAGAAACCTGGGTTTTCTTCTTCTTTGCAAATCACAAGTGAAGGTCCAAATCTGTTCTGTGTTCCGAAGCTGAAAGCAGGAAGGTGACTCTCCCAGCCAGTCTCTCTGCTGGATGTGTCTCCACCTGGGAATCCCTTTAGTACCAGGTCCCCATGACTGAAGAGGCGCCCACGTACTGTGGCTGAGCGGAGCACGGTCACGTCCACAGTGGCGTAGGAAAGGAGAACAGAATCATCCCGAGCAGCAAGTCAGAACTTCTGGCTGTAACCGTGCTCACGCACAGCTATGCACGCACATTCGAATACCACTACGAAAACACCTGAGGGTACCTGGTGCCCCGGCCGGGAAGACAGTACAGAGAGCTGGAATGGAACAGTACCTTTGAGTTATTGACAGTTTTACATGTCAGGATACAGTGTTCAGAGCCCACTCCGGAAGATGCTGTTAAAAGAAAACTAAAAATAACTACCTTGAGAGAACATGCATGTTCAGAGAGGCCAACATCTTACCTGGGAGAAGGGATGACTTAGCTCACGAAACTCAAGAACACAAGAAAACAAGATCAACAATAATTTCCTTGAATATATTCGACTATCAAGGCAAGGCATCCTCTGCTATAAAACACCATCATCTTCCCACCACCCCAAAGAAACGCAATAAATAACTTTACAGTGAAGGGCTCCGCAAGGCTACAGCGGTAGAGGTGTCCCCAGGTGCCCACACCGCCACAAGCTGGCCTTTAGTCTGTTCCTGAACGTGGCTCACTGGCGTTTCCAAGCTGTTTTACGGAACAGTTTCACGGGGTGAAGCCCAGTGGAGAGTGAGGCCAAAGAGTACAACACAGGAAGTGGTCAAAGCCAAGGTCAAAGCATGAAGACCCTCTTCTTCCAAGCGGACTAGAGAGCACTGGAGCGTGGCTTCGGGCCACAGGTTCTTCGGTGGTGCCTGGTCGCCCTTGCGTCGTCTCCCATGGCTGTCACGCAGGGAAGAGCTCAGGAGGGCTCTCTCCGTAGCAATACTTGGCTATGGGGTCCCTATAGGTGTTCTCGTGCTGCACGCTCTGTTGGCAGAAGGGAAGACAAGAGCGCCATGAGAGAGAGCACAGTCTCACGTTTCTCCCTCACGGAGCAGTGGAGGCCGGAGCAGGACCGCGGGCAGTCACCCCCTGCAGGCACCTGGAGCAGGTCATCTCCAAATGCCACCAAAAGGCTCCAAGGCACTTGTTTGAAACAAAGGTGGACGCTCAACACAGAACGCCAACAAAGAGCATGGAAATGGGTAGAACTTCTCTATATGACTGTTCCTTTTTGTCAGCAGTGAGGTTTTTTTGCGGTTTCAGGTTTTTTTGTTTTATTTAAAAAAAATTTTTTTTTAACATTTATTTATTTTTGAGAGACAGAGAGAAACAGATCATGAGCAGGGGAGGGGCAGAGAGAGGGACACCCAGAATCAGAAGCAGGCTCCAGGCTCTGAGCTGTCAGCACAGAGCCCAATGTGGGGCTCGAACCCATGAACTGTGAGATCATGACCTGAGCCGAAGTCAGACACTCAACCAACTGAGCCACCTAGGCACCCCTGTTTTGTTTTGTTTGTTTGTTTTAAAGCAGCTTAGCTATGACCTGGGCAATTCAAGACAACCATTTTTTGGCAAATGATTTTAAGTTAGAGTAAGATCCAGTGGGTGCTTTGCTCTTGACTTCTGTGCTCCAAAGAAATGCAGGTCCTGGTCCTGGACCCTGCAGAGACGAAGGAGATGCCACCTCACATCGCTTTCGTGAAGATTTATGTACCTTGAGGTCTGGCACATGAGGCCAACCCCACAAAAGCCTCATCTGGCTGAGCAAATGGAAAGTGTGACTTAACACAGCCCATCATCTCTGATGGCTAATTTTGCAGCGATTTGTTCTCATCCAAGCAACTTGAGTTTTTAGCTAGTCTGGAGTTCATTAATTAGCCCGAGGCCAATGCTTAACACCTAAATTATAAGTATTATTCCAATTTATAGACATGCAGCAAATCTCTTTTTTGGGACACTACAATCAACTGGCCACTGGGAACTCTCCCTTTACAATAAAAGACAGAAAGGTTAGCATCTTCCCTTAAGACTGGAAATAGTGTCTGAGTTTTATCAGTTAAGGAAAGAAAATATTCCGCCTTTTCTACCATTTCTCAGAATGAGAGAGAATCTGAATCAAAATGAGTCATGTGTTCAACCTTCCTCCACACTTCCTTTAAAGCCCATTCAAGCAGAAAGCTCTTCCAGCAAAACAAGACCATCAGGAATTTCTTCGTGATTCTAAATGCTCATTATAATCCCTGAAATAGTTACCCCGTGATTGTGAATGCTCTAAGAGCAGAGCTGGACAAAGCAGCATAAAAATCAAAGGCAGTCTACAGGAATCTGCCGAGGGCACATGAGTCGCAGAGAAGGACAGACAAGTCCGCTGTCTCCGACGAAGCCAGTACAGTCTTGGAGACAGCAGAGAGAAGCCAGGAGAAGCGTGCTTGCACCACTCACACATCTGGTGACCTTGCGACCAGAGCCCCGACAACACCCACCACGAAAGCTGAGCGCCGAGGCTGTGGCGCGGCGCAAGGGCGAGACGCGCACACACATGCAGCGACGGGTGCGGCGCCCAAGGAGCAAAGCGTCTACTGACAGCACGCTGGTGAGTGCTGACAGCTCGACACCCACAGATTTACTTGTGTAGTTTTAAAGGCCCACCTGCCCCACCCCCCTGAATCCTAAAATAAACCACAACACTGTCGCAGAACAAACTACTGCTTGCTCTGAACAAGTGCTTGCTAGAAAGCCTTAGTCACATTTCAAAGGCGCGGGGGCGAGAACTGCTCTCAGGACCCGGGCTGCGAGGGCTCCGCCCACACCCCAACGTAATTTTAAGCTTCCCCTGGAAGTGCAGACATGCCCATCAGATAGGGGAGATGCAAGCCGATTATACCTTGTTTTAATATAAATATTTGACTTCCCTAACGTGCACAACCTCATGCCGACTTCCTAAATACCGTCACTCCACCGAACAGAGCTAGACACCGCGTCGCTTAAATCTCTTCTCCACTGCCACTCCACCAAGAGGCCCGAAGCGCATATTTTCGAGTCTTCTTCTAAACCCTGACTCCTGCTCGCCCGTCCCCCAGCTGGAGAGATCACCGCTTCTGACCTGGGACGAGGTTCTGCACTTGGCCAGACACAACTCAAAGTGATCTTCGACGGCCATGAAGAGGTTCTGGAATGCCACGGCTGCCCGGCTGAGGAAGCGCTCCAGGAGAAGTTGCTATGGAAACAAAAGTTAGCACCTGTAATACATTCCGGACTCAGCAGCACAAGGTAACCTTGGCTATTTCTCCTAAACTAAGAGACTGCTGATGGGGGGTGGGGGATAGGGGTGGGGCGCAGAGGGAGAGAGCAAGCTCAAACGAACCAGAAGCCTGCTACCCTATACTGTTAGGCATCTGACGAGCGACCCTGCACAAGTAACAGAACCACCTCCTTGCACCGTCACCATTCTTCACAGCAGCAATTTCTGATGTCTACAAAGTTCCCTCCTCAGCTCTTTTTGTTTTTTTAACGTTTATTTGAGTGAGAGAGTGAGTGAGAGAGTGAGTGAGAGAGAGAGAGAGAGAGTGAGAACGAGCGCGCTCGAACACGCACCCACGAGGAAGGGGCAGAGAGAGGGAGAGAGAGAATCCCAAGCAGGCTCCGCAACTGTCAGCCCAGAGCCCACTGCGGGGCTCCGTCCCATGATCCGGGAGATCAGGACCTGAGCTGAGGTCACGAGTTGGATGCTTCAGCAGCTGGGCCACCCAGGAGCCCCTCCCAGTTCTATCTTCGAAACGATGTCACGTGGAGACTCCCTGGCTCCAGAGGAAGGCACAGAAGGGCGGCGTGGGCCGGAGAGGCCCCATACCTTGCTGGGCTGCAGGCAGCAGGACACGCAGTACTCGTAAGCGCCGCAGCAGCCATTGGGCAGGCAGCCGTCGCAGCGGTACTGCTGCGCGCCGGGGACGTGGACGTTACAACAGCCGTTCACCAGCAAGTCCTTCCTTTCACAGATGTATCCTGGAAGTCAGAGACCCACCTGAGCACAAGCCGGCAGTTCTCCCCCCTCCCTAGTGGGGTGAGCACGAAGCGGCAAGAAGCCCGGAGACAGAATGTGTGGGCTCCGGAGCACCCCAAGCGCCAAAGAGCCAGGATGAGACACAAGGCGGTCGGCGCTTTCTACGTGCAGCTGTTTACAGGCAGCACGGGCTCCCGTGTCGGAAGCAGGCTACACGTTCCAACCTTCCTAAAATGACCTTTCGGTCTGCTGCCACGTGCTTGATTTCATCACTGTGTCAAGTCCCACCTAACCAATGTAAGCCACTCTTTCACCTGTGACTAAAGACAAATGGCAAGGTTTTTTGAAAAGAAAGAAAAGAGAAAAAAACGAAGGCATTCATTCCTGAAAGTCAGAGCCGCCTGGATTAAAAAACCAACCAACCCTCCCCCCACCCACTCTTTACAAATATCTTTTAAATGGTTGGCATTTATTTAGTAGTTTGGAAGATTTTTTTTTTTTAAAGTAGTCCCACTTAATCTTCATAAATTGATTTAGGCCGTTTTTAAGTATCCAGGCCAGGGATTCAACTACCCCTCAGCATTAGGGAAGGCCAATTCTCTACCACCCAAGGGAGAAACATCCTAACGCCCTCCACTCCTCATAAATCCCTTCATCTGTACACACGCCCTCCGACCCAGTCAAATCCACATTCAACTTGAAGGAAAATCTCCCTGAAAAAACTAATTTATTGTTCAGAGCTGCTAAACAGACATGTCCCTACAACGTTCTGGGAGTGGGACAGAAAAATGTAAGAATAAGTACACGAGGGACACCACATGGCCCTTGGGAAACTCCCAGGCGTGTGCACCAGCCCCCAGGTGCCCCCAGGTGCGGAGCAGCTGTCGCCAGCATCATTCCATTCCAAATGCCCCAGCTTTTTAATCCTCGGAGAATGAGACTCGGTGCAGTATAAGGTTGTTTTCAGAAACTGCTCTGGATAACAAAGTCTGTGCAGAGGCAGAAGGCACTGGTAAAAGAACAACGGAAGAGACTCGGAGGACCCTCACTTAACACCTAGAAAACCGGAACCTGGAAAGAACCAGACCCCAGTTACCTACGAACTGCGAACCTTTTGTTGTTGTTTTTTGACTATACCATTCTGTCTTCTAAAAATTAAAAGAAACAGACTCGAATGTCATGGTAAATGAGATTCTTAACTATTACTCATTTTCTTCACAGGGATTTATAAACAAACAAACAAAAGTCCAAACAGGCCAACACGTTTCACAAAATTCTGCCCCGAATGATAAGCACACTGCAACCTTCTCACCTCTGTGTCAGAAAGACGTAAAACATAATGTAACCTCGCCTCCATTTGTGACAAACACCTTTCTGCCCTTTTCTCTGTCCCGTACTGTAAAGCGTCAGCCCCACAGGGTGCCCTCCGCGCCCAGCGCTAGCCGCAGGTGCTTAGCCTTGAGACCCAGGGCCTCCTGACTTCTGGTGAAATAAAGCTCCTCAAGATTTCTCCCTTTGCATCGTAAATCTATTCATGCAAATGTCACTTCCAACAAGGAGTCCGGTAAGATCACAACCTCAGAGTATGTTGCTATTGACTGAGAAATGAACTCCTAACCTTGGAAAAGCTTGCCATTCTAACTGGTTGTCTTATTTAATAACTGTTAGCCTGGAAATATTTGCGGTGGCACCTGCCTGCTGAAAGACATAAATTCCTCCAGGTTTTATTTGTAGCTGTTTATTGCTTCTCACAGCTATTGTATCCGACAATACAAACCATGGCTCCTGTTTTTTTATTGACTGATTCTTGGAACTTTTTACTTAAGAATTCTGAGAGTCTTTGTCTCACGTGAATTAATCAGAGGAAAATTATTCGTTTGTTAGCTACAACAAAAATGGCGTCACTCATAACCTGATGTTAACTAGCAGACCCAGGGCGTTAAGACTTCGTGTTTTGCACTGGGTGTCATACCAACAAAACAGTCTCTAAGAGAAAAGACTGGACTCTGCATTCAGTCCTGCCAGGGTCTCCCGCAGGCTGGCCGTATCAGCCTATGGAAGTAAACTGCCTTGGCCAAACTTTGTTTAAAAAACAAAACACAAAAAGAGGCTATTTGCAGTACTCTCTGCCTTCTCAGTGTGATCGTAAAGGTACTGGCGCTGGCAGCACTGCCGGACTGTCAGTGTGTTTGTGCAGACCTGTCCAGTCCCCCTCCGTAGGTGCCTCGTGTTCCTCTGAGCCCTGCCTTCTATTCCAAATCATCTCATCTGCTCTGATGCCTTGGAGATCTTTTTAGAAAAGTTTTATTTAGTTTTTATTTTGCTGGGAATGCACGGCCGTTGTCACTTGAAAGGCCGCGCGCGTGCATTTTGGTCGGTCAGTGTGCACAGAGGAGCATTCTAATTCAAGGTTGCCCGGGTCAATTTCAGTACTGCCGTAGTCACAACCTACTTGTGCTCAGGTTCTTTGAAACAGAGCAAAACTTACTCTTGCAAACAGACCAACCACATCATCTCCAAACCACCAGCTGGAAAAAAACAAAAACCCTGTGAAACTAGCAGGGAGCTCTGAAAACCTGTCTGTGGATAGTGGACCTGAAGGGAAAGGGTTACTTTTTGGTGTGATAACGGTATCCTGATCACGGTTTGTACGAGAGTCCTTGCCCTTGTGGGCAAGTTCCTTAGCCCCTTGGTGCCTGGGTTGTCATCTATAAAGCGACAAGAGCAATGCCTACACATCCCAGGACTGTTGCAAACATCAGAGGAGATATTCAAGACAGGTTGTAGCCCAGGGCCCAGCTCATCTAACGCAGGCTGTGCATTCACGAGAGGCCCTCAGTGGGAAGGCTGGGCTAGCCTCCGCGTGGGGCGGCCTCGAGCGGCTAAGCCACCCACCTCAATGGCACAGGAATCACCTTCCTTACAGACTACAGGAGGCAAGGAAACTGTGGGAGAAAGCCCCCAGACAGACAGGCTGCCGTTTTCACCATAAGAGTAACACACGTGGAATATGTTTATAATTCGTGTGACAGCACCCAGCCAGTCAACAAGCACATTTCCTAAGTGCCAGAACCGTGTGGAGTATGCAGATGACCAAGGAGGAGCGCTGGTTACCGGGTTGAGGTCGCCACTTGGGGAGAAGGCTACACTGGCAAGATGCAAATGTCCTGGGGCCAGGACAAGACTGGCAGGAAGCAGCCCAGGGGCCGGTGCTAAAACCCCCAGGCACCAGGAGCTTCGGAGACAGAATTAGCTCCTGACAGTGAGGGGATCGTGAGTGGTGAGCAGGTGCAAGACACAGGGAGGTGAGGAACTCTGGGAAAGAGCAGGAAGGGGCGAGGCTACCCCGGGCCCATCGCTGGCTGCAGAGAGGACGGGGCCAGGCCTACCTAGCTCGTCTGTGATGAGGTGCTTCCCTTGAATGGAGTTCCGGCACTGGCTGCCCGGCCGACTGCTGTTGCCCAGGTGAAACTGCACTTTCCACGGAATGGGCTGGTCGTGGTCTTGAACCTGGAGGAGATTCCGATCCCTCACTGCCCTCTCCTCCTACAGAGACCACAAACAGAAAGGTTCGAGTACCGTTTCTTGCATTCTGCCAATTCTTCGCAGACACTACAGTAACAGGGCAGAAACAATATTAAAAAGCTCACACGACAGGAATCATCACCCCCATCCCCCACACGAGCAAGTCTGAGCCAAAGTCGTAACATACAATGCAAAGTAAACCTGCAGGAAAAGAAATAAGGCTATGCTTCAAAACTGGTATAATTACATTAATGGCCCTTGGATTACATGCACATTGTAAACACGGATGAAAGTGTTAATTCGATGCAAAACTTTGGAGGGAAAAAGTTTTAAATTCATTTTTCCGATGGCAAATCATTTAACGTATCTTTTTATATCAAAACAAACACACAAAATGTAAAATTTGAACACACTTTCAAAATAGAAGAAGACACGTCACAAAATTCTGCAATGGTCATTTCAGACAATACCTGGGCTCATCTGGAGCACAAGGCCACTTCCATTACGAGTACTTCAGGGGTAAACTCAGGGGACACGGAAGTGGGAGGCTGGTTTTAGGGGCAAGAAGAAGCATGTGACCTTGCAAATTTCTCCCATGAAAAGGCAGAGAGTATGCAACCCTTACAATATACCTTTGTTTACATGAGACACCCCTGCCAGCCAGCCCGGTACCCACCCGTGCACAGGGACACACCCCTCTAGAGGCGAGCACCCGCACCTTGTCTCCTAGCCTCCAGGCTGCAGCCGAGCTTTCAAGGCCGCTTCTCCTATCCTATGACAGACACTAAGGGGAAGGCGCCTGAGCACCAGAAGATGAGCCAAGCGTGAGACGGCCATCTTCCGAACCCTTTAACCTGCTGCTGGAAAACAAAACAATTATACAAGACTCCCTCACAAAGGCTCTTTATGTAAACATTCTACCTTTTAAATAGAATTCTGTGGCTTTTACCATTAAGAATGATCTGTCACATGTCACCAGCAAAAGGGACTAACCTTGAAAATTTGATGGCAAAGAATATATAAACAATGAAGCAGATCATTATAATTACTGAGATTTCTTTAGGAAAGCAATCTGGAAAAAGCTATTAATATTTAAAATATACATACCTACAGGGACACCTGGGTGGCTCAGTCGATTAAGTGTCTAACTTCAGCTCAGATCATGGTCTCACAGCTTGTGAGTTCCAGCCCCACATTGGGCTCTGTGCTGACAGCTCAGAACCTGGAGCCTGCTTCGAAGTCTGTGTGTCCCATTCTCTCTGTCCCTCCCCAACACACGAGCGAGCAAGCGAACGCGCACACATGCTCTCTCTCTCTCAAAAATAAACATTAAAAATTTTTTAAAAATCATACACATCCACATATACTTCTTTGGCACAACAAGCACATTTTTGAGCCTATAGAAAGTACCACTGTGTAAGGATGCCCCAGGATGCTTATGACTACAGCACTGTTTACGTGGCAGGAAAAACCTAGAAACCCAACAGTGAAATGACTGAAAAACACTGGTATAGCTATGGCCATTACAAAAAAATGCAGATGTGAATATGTATTTATCTAGACTAAGTTCTTAAATCTGAACTTGCACATTAAATTATGCAGGGACCTTAAAACAAATTCTGATTCCTGAGCCCAACTTCAGACTGAGTAAAAATCTCTGTGAATGGGACCTGGGAATCAGTATTGTTCAACCACCCAGCTGTTTTTAATACAGAAGAGCACTGTGTGTACACCATTGGATACCCACAATATATTAAGTGAAACCAGCAAGTCACAAAAGAATGTGCATATTATCACACACTATAACAATTATAAGAACACACACATAAAAATGTGTAAGAGCTGAGAAAGAAGTATGGAAAGATATGCTACAGACTATGGACAGGGAAGGGAAGGTGACTGTGAACACCTTTTATCATCTTTGGGATATCTTCACTTTAAAATAAAATGAAAGAAGCATAATTATCATTAATAAGAGAAGACACTGAGGGATCTAGATGAACTCTGTATTATCCTTCAATTTTTTTTAAATTTGTCATTGCTCCAAAATAAAAATTGTATTTTAAAAAAGCATGATTACCAACATTAAAGACAAAAATTGCCCACAATCCCATTGGCTAAACAAAGCTATATCAATTTTTATATATTAACTTTTAGCCTCTGACCCTGCTGTTTATACTACAAATGACAGTGCTTTGCATTCAACTCTTCTTGACATTAATTGGATGGTAAGCCATTCACATACCTACGTTATCTTGATAAAAACATTTTCAAGGCTATATAATAATAGATCATGTTGATGGGCCATAATTTAGTAAACACATCTCCTACAGAATAATATTTTTGTTATCAGAGGTAGCACTGCGGTAAAAAGTTATTTATTCTCTTCCATAACTTGTAGTAATAATTATCAAAACCAGTTAATGTATACAGTACCAAATAACTTCCCCAAAGTTATATACACCATTTGTAACATCACCCACATTTATATAACCGTGTTTACAATTTTACCACCACTGCACCAGTGCTGGTTTTGTTCTTTAATTTACTAAGCGTCAAACAGCTACACTTAGTGGCTAATTTCTATTCTGCCTCTCCCTTTTGTTTCATTTACAGGCAAAAATTGGCACCGGCAGAAACAGGATGGGTTATATAAAAACAACATCTGTACTCCTTGGTTGGTGCAGGAAGGGCTAAGTGCAGAAGCCTTGGGAATACAGGACAAATCACTTAGGTACATACGGCTTAACTACCTCTACATTTATGTTCCTCTGCTCTGCTGGGACCGTATCAGTTAACTACATACTCAAGCTATGTCCGAACGAAACGGAGCTTCAATTGCTGCCCTAGAAAACTTAATAGCCATAAGGACTAGTAAGTGGCTGGTCAAAGTACACTGGATCTCACAACAAGGTTAAAAGTACTCCTTACATTACTCTCAAACTATCCTGTTATTCTTCCGGAAAGAAAACAAGTGTTCACAGCCAAGTGCATCCCAGAAGGACCTCTTCCACATAACTACACTCCTAGTAAACAGGAAGGCAATTCTTCCAGTACTTAAACTTGTTCTCAAACATGAATATTCAAGACCTTGCCAAAAGGACCGGGTAAGAGTTGAACACTCAAAAACCAAACCAAAACAAAACCATACAAGAGATAGTTTAAGACACTGCAGCAAATGTAATGAATTAACATTTATCTTTCTGAGGGTCCAGTCTCACCAAGGGGGGGGTGGTGAAGGGGCACTGAAGGGATTCCTTTCATGGTTTCAACCCCCTACCAAACTGATCTACTCTACTAGGTTGTTTCAATTCTAGGCTTGTATACGTACACATGGGCACGCATCTGTGTGCGTGTATTTCCCCGCAAAGGGAACAAGTCCTTACAATGCACGAAGGATACAGAGACAAAGGCAGTCAGGCTCTCTATTCTCAAGGAGTCCCCAGAGCAGTCAATAAAGAAGTACACACAGAAATCAGTGCAATTAACCACAACAGTCGACCACACTGGGTACGCTAGGGGACAAAGAAAAGAGTGGAAACGAAAAGGAGCAAAACAAAGTAACAACTGAACTTTCTTCATAAATGGTAAGAAGTTACTGTGTTTTCACTACTAATATATGTTACTTAGCCTGGTTTAAGGAGTACTTCAAGAACTGTCCTATGTTTCAGAGGTTATAATGGTCAAATGAGACAAACGTCCCATGGTCACTGTTCTCCTCCTCTACCCTGTGCAGTACATGACAAACTTTCTGAAAAATATACCTATCTTGGTAATCGGCGACTAACAAAACAAAAACAGGTTAGCAACTCTCTTATGACGCAGGACAGTTCAGAAGTATCGAACTCACACTCTTCGTCTACTGCAACTTGCATACTTAATTACTTTAAAGCTAAAGATGTTAATTATTTTCAAAGAGTTATGCACACAGCCCTGAGACTTTCAGGACCAGCTCCACTTGAACATGAGGACATTTATTGACCGGGGCTGACCTCTAAGGACCCCACAGCTCAAATGCCCCACAGGGTCAGGCCCGCCTTGCCGCTCTATCACAACATCTTGTTTTTTTGTTTCCTTCATATCATAAACCTGAAACATTTCTGGTCATTTGCCATTTCTGCTCCCTTATTCCCTGGCAGAACACAGGCCCTCGGAGAAATAAGACCCTGTCTGCTTTGTGCTTCACTCCCCCCCCCCACCTCCATCACCTAGCAGACAGCACCTAGTGCACAGCTGGGGTTCAGTGAACATTTGTTAAATGCACCCAAGTCACTTGGCACCCAATCCTCTCCCCCCATGGCATCCCCACCATTGTCATTAATTTCGCCTGAGCTCCCATCTCTACAATTTAAACTTATCCCCCAAAGCATTAATTAACGTGAAAACCAAAGAAAAGAGGAATTCAAAGCAACAGAGGATAATCGGCTAGTCTCTGGGCAGACAGCAGCTGCACCTGCGCCGGGAGCGCAGAGTCTCTGAGGCAGAGCCCGGGACCACACCGAGCCTCACAATTCTTCGTGGCCCCCTCTCAATTCAGTGCCAGCACACGCGCCCGCTGCAGAGATTCAGTATGCCATGCCATGCCCGCCCCACAGGTGAGGACAGGGAGGAACCGGGCACACTGGCCTCAGGTCGCACGGAGGGCCAGGGCCGCAGCAGCGAGCAGCGCGGGTGCGGCAAACTCAAGGGCACTTAGGGCGCCATCAGCCGGAACAGGCTCCGAGGCCCCCTTCATATTCTCTATACGGAGAATCTCGATATGGTGGTCTATGAGGATCACGGCTATCGACATTTATCATACTGGAAATTAAAAAATAAGTTCTTAAATTACTTACTTAAATAAATTACCTATTCATTTAAAAATAACGAGCCTATTCTACGTCAACAGGTGTTGTTTTTTTTTTGTTTTGTTTTGTGTTAGCATTTATTGTTTTGAGAGACAGAGAATGAGCGGGGAAGGGGCAGAGAGAGAGGGAGACAGAATCCGAAACAGACTCTGCGCCATCAGCACAGAGCCCGATGTGGGGCTTGAACCAACAAACCATGAGATCGTGGCCTGAGCCGAAGTCGGACGCCCAACCAACTGAGCCACCCGGGCGACTCCGTCAACAGGTGTTTTTGTTTGTTTGTTTTTGAAAAAAACGCTCTTCCAAACAAAAAAGAAATTTGATAAGAAAATGCTTTTACATTTCTGCAAGTCCTCTTAACGTCTGGCTGAACGGACGATGCCTGGGTTGCCATCGCACCCCTGCAGTCAATCTGTTGCAATGTGTTGTCTGGTTTGGAGCAGATGAAGAGAATCTACCTCACGCAGATGTGTGGCTGGACACGGGCAGGGTATTTTATTGGCAGTTTCAAATAATCACAGATAATCTTCTTTGGTACTACATCAAAACTCGACAAGTGGAGTTTCTTAAAAGGACATTGCACGTGATGCAACCACTTTGGGAAACAGTTCGCAGCTCCTCAAGAAGGGAAACATGGAGTTACTGTGTGGCCCGTCAAGCCCACTCCTAGAAACGCACCTAAGAAAACCGAGAACGTATTTCCAAACAAGACGAGTATCTAAACTATGAATAACATTCCTTTGTATTCGGAACGGAACATTATTCACATATGAAAATGTAGCACCTAATGGATGCTACAACATAGATAAACCTTGAAAACGCTGGCTTCGAACTGAAAGAAGCCAGACACAGAAAAATACATGTTGTACAATTCCATTTACATGAAACGTCCAGAAGAGCAGATCCACAGATGTAGAAAGTTGACTAGTGTTTGCCAGGGGCTGATGGGCAGGGATAGAGAAAGGTGACCGCTGAAGTGTTCTTAGGCTGGGGTGGGGGGGTGGGGGGGGAGGAGCGAGGATCAGACCCTCAGAAATTTGCGAACAGTTTTAGGAGAATCACAATCATCCCCTTCCCAATCAATCATCGTCACAGATCACAGATTTTTTTTTTTTTTTTTTTTTTAAAAAAGACGCACTCTAATTTTAAAATAATATACTGGGCGCCCTGGAGGACCCAAAGGATGATTGTAGGGAAGGTCACAGAGAGTATCTGGGTCAAGAAATGAAGGGAAGGTCACAGAGAGTATCTGGGTCAAGAAATGAAAAATTAGCTGCAGAAGGAAGGGAAAGACATCCAAATTAAAAAGACGCACAACTCACTCATTTGTTCAACCCATATCTGAGTGCTCATTAAGTGCCTGGCAATTTTCTCAGGGGTAACATTTTATGAGCAACACAGTCAAGGTCCCTGTTCTCAAGAAAACTACCTTCTTGGGGCGCCTGAGTGGCTCAGTCGGTTGAGCGTCCGACTTCGGCTCAGGTCATGATCTCACGGTTCCTGGGTTCCTGTCTGTGCTGACAGCTTGCTCAGAGCCTGGAGCCTGTTTCAGATTCTGTGTCTCCTTCTCTCTCTGACCCTCCCCCGCTCCAGCTCTGTCTCCCTCTGTCTCTCAAAAAAATAAATAAATGTAAAAAAAAAAAAACACTACCTTCTAGAAGGAAGAGAGAGGGAAGACAGATAAGTAAAGGAACAAGAAATGTTCAGTTAGTGATTCCTACTACAAAGAAAATAAAGCAAATCTATGGGGAAGGAACTGTAATTTAAATTGTGTCACCTGGTATGGCCTGAGACAGTCTGGCCTGAAATGACAAAATAAACAAACAAACCCTGATTATGCACTGACCCTGGAATGGAGTCTGGAGTTTTACCTGAGTGCAACAGAAAGCCAAAGAAGAATCATACCCAAGAGAGTGCTGTGATTTCCCCCCCTCCCCCCCAGATTATCAACCCTATCACTGCTGGGTAGAGAAAGACCGTCAGACAAGACAGGAAGCAGACACCTGCTAGTGAGCTACTGCACTAGCTGCACAGTCCAGACAAGAGACGAAGGTAGCCTGACCTAGGGTGGCACCAGTGACCATCGTGAGAAAGGAACAGAATCAGGACACACTGTGGAGGCAAAGGCAATATTTTGGATGTGGGGAGTGAGGGGAAAAAGGGAAGTATTTGTGGTTTGACGACCTGGTGAAGAGTAATGCACTTCCTGAGCCTGGGAAGGCTGGAGAGGAAGTGTCGGTGGTGGAGAATCAATAGTTCTGTTTTGGCCAAGGATGAGAAGCCTCTGACACGTTCCAGACGATGTCAGGTAGGCAGGCGGATAGAAGAATTGAGGGTTTCTGGACAGGTCTAGGCAAAAGTTACAAAATGGGGTATCAAGAGCATACAGCTGGTGTTTAAACAATGGGTCAGATAGAGAGAAAGGCAGGGATCTGAGTCCAATCACTATCACACTCAGTGGTCATCAGACAGAGAAGGAAGAGCATGTGACCACGATAAGGTATCTGTGAGGTCGCAGAAAACACGAGTCCCTGAAACATGTAGTTCAGGCATGTCACCAACACATCCCGGTCAAGGTAAGCGGCTCACAGCATTCAGTCTCTCTGTTTGCCTAAGGTGGGGTACAGTTCTCTACCTCCGCTTTACGCACCAATCCCATTTAACTAAGGTGACCACACAGTTCCTTTATTTTCCATTCGTTAATATACTTACGAACTTGACCCTCGGGAATCAAAAAGGGAGCTTTTATTAATAATAACTACATCAGAGAAACGACATAAACCAGAATGCCCCTGATCCACTCTGAGGTATGCGCACCCGTTCTAAGACCCCAAACGCTCCATCCGGACTTCTACCAAACAAACTTCCAATTGCTTTGGCCGCATTTCTCACCCAAGCATCCTGCCTTTTCTCCCAGAAATTCTCACATGGGAAGAAAAACTAACGGGATGGGGTGGTAGAAAGAAAATTCCATCCGACCGAGTTATGCACGGAAGGGTACCTCCGTGGGTCCTGCTGAGTCTTGCCGGGTGGACCCCTGGGCCCTCAAAGTAAATGCAGGCCAGGCACGCAAGCTGTGGCCTCTCTGAGCCTCAGTTTCCCCCGCTGCAAAGTGGAGACACCCACCCTCCGCGACTGCCAGGAGAATGAAACCAGAAACGCACGCTCCCTCTAAGCCCCAGACCCCGCAGGTAAAAGGCACGCCGAGGGCAGGATGGGTGATAACCACCGCTGAGGGCCCACACACCTGGGTTCGAGTCTCACCTGTACCCCTGGCCTAGCAGCGCCTTCTCGCCCGCGCACCAACGAAACCAGCAGGTCCCTTCGTCCGTCCTCAGTCACAGCGCGCCGGACGCTCGGACGCACTGGCAGCGCGGCTGCAGAGGCGGTTCCCCCCAACCCAGGGAGAAACCAGGCGGCCGGGAGAGCAAAGGTGGGACGGCGGCGGGCAGCCACTGACCTGCTTGAAGGTGCTGCTGAGGAAGTAGACGAGCGAGAGCCCGAAGACCAGGGCGAGCACCCACCTCTTCCGGAGGAGCCGGCGCCACACCATAGCCGCCAGGTTCACCATGCCGACGCGGACGCGGGGCGCGGCGGCCGGGGCGCACAGCGGGGCAGGCCCGGGGCCCGGGCGGCATGGCCCCTATGCGACCGGCGGACCCATCAACCGCGGCGGGCGCCGGCCCCTCGGCGTCTGGCGCAGCCCGCTCCCGGCAGCCACCCCGCGTCGCCCCACGTGACCCCTCCCCCCGCCCCGCCTCCGCTGCGCTCGGGTGGTCAGCCGGCCTCGCTCGGCTCCTCGCTATTGGTCCCTGAGGAGCGACGTGCTCCAATTGGCTGAGTCCCGAAAAGGGGGCGGGCAATCGCGTGCGCACAGCAAGAGTAGCGGCGCGGCGGTCTTAGCGCCGGGCTAAGGCCACCTGAGAGAGAACCCAACAAGCGGCCGGAAGCACTCGGAAGTCACGTGCCACGCGGGCCGCGCGCGTGATTGGCTTGGAAGGACGTGAATGATGCCGCTGTGATTGCCGAATTGTCTGGGCAGGTAAGAAGAGAACGCGGTTTTTTTCTCCGGGGATGGTTCGTGTAGTCTCCCGCCCCTGTAGTCCTAGGGCGTTTTGTGCTCCACGTTGGTTGCAAAAATGGGAGACGCTCGCGGCTTTTTTCCCCAAAGTGCACCTGCCTGCTTCCAGTGCGTGTAACGCGGGAGATGCTCTCGCGTGCATTTCGGTGCCCGTAACGGCCCCAGGGGCTCAACTGAAAACAAAGCATGTATGGAAAAGTCTTAGGGTAATTGTTCATGAGGGTGTAGAACAGTGAATGGAACAGAGGGCCAAGAGACGTTTCATTCAGTCATTCAGATGCATCCCACGTGCAGAATTTTGTTCTGGAATTCAGTATAGGAATAATTACGTACGGCCTGGGTCCAGCAGAGAATCCGAAGCCCCTCATAAGCGAGCATCTCAAAGTGGAATCTTGCGCATGTGACTTTGGAGACTGTGTCAAATTCGCGGATGGAAACTTTGGGAGCTGTATTTTCCGCCCAAGGATTTGCAAGTGATGGGGGAGGGGGAGGGATCATTGGGAGAGGGCATTAAGGAGACATTGCAAGTTCTTGAAAATTATTTACATAAGGAGCTTTGCTTTGCTTTGTAGCTCGGATGGTGATACTGACCCACTTCTTAGCTGATTTTTCAAAAGAGGTTTAGCTGCTAAATTCTGCCTCTAATCAGGGGCCCTGCACCAACGCTGCCCCCTGAAGGAGGTGGTCAAGATTAGGAAATCATGCAAAACCAATTATGATGTCCTCAACCTACCATCTTTGGTCCTGGTACCAGATATATATATATATATATATATATATGTGTATGTGTACATATGTATACGTGCCTATGTATATATATATATATACGCATATGTGTATATGTATACGTGTCTACGTACATATACGCATATGTGTATATGTATACGTGTCTACGTACATATACGCATATGTGTATATGTATACGTGTCTACGTACATATACGCATATGTGTATATGTATACGTGTCTACGTACATATACGCATATGTGTATATGTATACGTGTCTACGTGTCTATATATACATATATGTATACGTACATATGTATACGTGTCTATATACACATGTATGTGTATATATATTTGAGGCTAAACCTACTCATGGAAAGTCTATGGCTTTTATTTCTCTAGGGAGGGAAAAGGGAGTGTACAAAAAAGTAACTTAGACCCATAGATAACTGTTGAATAAGTATTTGAATATTTATTGTATGCAACTCTGTGCTAGGCAATGTTCTGGATGCTGAGGTATAGGGATGAGCCAAACATAGGGTGCCTGCTTTTGTGGACTTTACATTCTAATGGAGGACAGATGACATAAGCAAACATGTAAGTAAATGGTTAAGTTCTATGAAGAAGATGAAACAGAGCAACATACCGTTGGGTCAGGAGGGTGAGAGGAGAAGGTGATGTTTGACCTGAGGAGCTAAACAGAAAGAAGAGCGTTCAAGGAAGAAAGAACAGCAAGAACAAAGGCCCTGAGGCAAGGACGAGCCAGCAAGTATGAGAAACAAGCTCATGGTGGTTAAAGGAAGAGTAGAAGGAAATGAGATTGGAAACAGGTGAGGTGGCATCAGGCCAAACTTGTAGGCTGTAAAGAGAGTTTGGATTTTATTCTGGTTGCAGTGGGAAGCCATCGGACGACCTTAAACAGATTTTCTGTGTTCCCCAATCAGGATCCTAGTTTGTCAATAGGGAAAAAGACATTAAGAAAACGTGCCCAGGAGCCCTGAAGAGGGATGGGTGAGAGGCTAACCAGAGATGTGCTCAGAGCTAAGACATTCTCAGGCTCAAGCCATCGCATGGACTATTCCCTGAAGTGTTCTGTTCCATCCAAGGTTTGGAGCTCTGGTGACCTGTGCATCCCTCTGCAGAGGAAGAGGAGGGAGAGGCTTGCTTTTTCTGGCCTCTAGCGATCACGTCCCAATCAGGAGCCCTGAAGGCCCACCGCAGGCGTCATCAGCATGGAGTTCTGAAGTCCATGTGGCTCCTCGCCGTGAACCAGGTGACCTGTCTCCGCAAGGATTCACGTCCTCACTACCACTTTATTAAACAGGGGGGTTGGGGGGACTAAAAGGAAGCTTTGGGTTTCAGCGTCTCCACACCCACACATACACCCTTCCCCCATTTAACTGATGGGGAATCTGAGGTCACAGAGAGGTTACTGATGATCCCAAGGTCACACAGCAAGTTATGAGCAGCATCGGTCCAGAAGCCATGTCTCTCTTTTTTTTTTTTTTTTTAACGTCTATTTATTCTTGAGAGAGAGAGAGACAGTGCAAGTGAGGGAGAGGCAGAGAGAGAGGGAGACACAGAATCCAAAGCAGGCTCCAGACTCTGAGCTGTCAGCACAGAGCCCAATATGGTGCTTGAACTCACAAACCGTGAGATCATGACCTGAGCCAAAGTCCGACACTTAACCGACTGAGCCCCCCAGGCGCCCTGGAAGCCGTGTCTTGTACTGCCAGTCCACTGCTTACTTCTTGTCATCCAACATCGGCCGCATTGTCCACTGCTTCCTCTCACATGAAGGCTCCCTCCACCCCTGGGTCTCAACATCCTCCTCTGTGAAATGGGGTGATAACAGTCTCCTCACTGGGATCGAATGTTGAGTTGAAGGCTGAATAACCCGAGAGATGCAGACAGGGTTTGCAGAATGTCAGAGAGCTGTGGGGGTGTGAGAGAGGGGTGACACCTGCTTATAGTTGCCTGGGCAATCCAACCAGCAACAGGAATGTTAAGACATGCCAGCTCACGCCATGTGTTGACTTTCAGGTCCTAAGGAAAATGCAGAGACGCCACAGCAGCAACACAGAGAACGGTCCACCTGAAAGGTAGGTAGACGTCTCCTGGCTTCGTTCCACTCAGAGGCTCTGGGCCCAGGGGGTCGGGGGCAATTCCAAATCTGGATCAAGCAACACCTGCTTCTCGGGTGACTTATTAGTTGACATGTGGTTGGAAACTGCTCTGCCCAGTGAGAGCTTATATTTCTCAGTGCAGTGCAGTTTGCTGTTGCTTTGATGGTCATCCCCAAAGCCTGTGTGACTGGTGACCCCCTTGTTCCCCAGGTTTTAACTTCTAGAGGTGATCAAGTGAGGACGTGGAGAGGCTAAGGTCTCAGGGAGGTTTCTGTTACGTACGCATCCTGAGAGAGGGGGACACATATCAGTAGGCAGGGCCACGCAGGGAAGCACCATCAGGAGACAGACAGAAGCAAAGAGTAAACGTAGGCCACAGCTTTCATTGTGTGGCAGGGTGGGGGTGGGGGGGTGACAGCTTGGGATTTGGCCAGCTTGAATAATGTCAGGCTCTGGGCTATAGGGGTGTTGTCTAGTTTTCTGATACCTGGCCCTGGGGGGTTTAGGGCAGGGGAAATATTGGCTGGGTGTGCCCGGCGTCCATAAGGAAGTGGGTGGGCATATAAACAACTTTGGCTGTTACCTCGGCCCTATGATTAACAGATGCCAAACAGACAAGGAGAAATTCTGAGAAAACACAGTTAAAAACATGCACTAGAATGACTGGCGAAGTCCAGGAGAGTTCACACCGCGCCGACTGGTCTCAGGTTGTGATGCTCTCCCCTGTGTGCTGGGCACGTGCGTCCGAGGAATTGGCCACTGAACTTCTCCTCCTTCACCTCCCATTCCGGGTCCCCGGCAGCCCCAAGGCTGAGCACAGAATCCCAAAGAACATTTACCAGTGCGTTTGGCATCAAGCCTGACCATTCTGCCAGGAAGACCACTGGCCTTAAGTCTGGTGACCCCCAGCCAGAACCCCAGCTTAGCCATTTTCCACCTCCGGTGCCTGTGGCAAGCAACTGTACCCCAAGCCTCAGTTTTCTTTCCCATCCATAAAATCTAGATAATAAAACTCAGGGTTGTTTCTGAATGAGTGAACGAGCCTGAAGGTGCACAAAGACGGTATCCAGCGTATACATGCGCTGCTTGGAGCTGCCCTAGCCTCTGAGGACAGAATTGCTGGCTGCCCTCCAGTGAACCATGAGGTCTTTGGGGGCAGAGACCGCAGCAGGAAAATAACGGCCACCGTGTATTGTGTGCTTACCCCGTGCCACCCTCACATTGGCCTGAGGAGGTCAGAACGATTTTTATAGGAAACTGAGGCTCAGAGAGGGGAAGTAAACTCCCAGAAGTCACACAGCCAGTAAGCAGCAGGCTGAGATTCAGGCCCCAGTCCATTGCCCCCCATAGTCTATGCTTTGAGTCACCACATTACGAGTCCCTCCTGTCTGGGTGGATCTACTCCTGGGCTGCCTCACATTCTGGCCCTTACGTGGTTAAGTTGGAAGCACAGCCTCTGTCCTCCAAGGAATATTCTTTCCCATTTAGGCTGAAATCTCTGCTGGATACCAGGGAGAGGCCCAGGGAACGGAGGCCAGCTATAAAAAGCTCCTTGGTGGGTTGAGTCCTCCCTGGTTGTACCAGAGGCCCCCTGAACCCTGTGAGCTCAGGGCTGGTGAGCTCAAAGGGGCCAGGAAGGCTTTCCAGGGCCCGATGGGGGACAAAGCTTGGCCCCTGTGTGGGTCAGCGTGGGCACCTGCCAGGCCTCCTGCTTTCTGAGCTCAGTTTCTTGAAGTGCAGAAAAAGCTCATGGCCCCTTGAGGGTCATAGCCATGGTGTCTGTTGTTGTTGTTGTTAATATTACTTTTATTGTTATTCTGTGCCCAAGGGAGTAGGACCATATGTCTCCTGGGTTTTTAGAGCCAGCAGGGATGGGCCATGGGGTGGGTTTATGATAACAGTCCCCCAGGTCAAGCTTATAGAGTTAGAGAAGCCAACCCTGAGATTTCTCTAGGCCAGCAGTTCCCCTGCTGGGTTTCACAGGTGTCCTGTAAGATGTTAATAGGTCAAAGAATTCAATGGTCAAATCAGGTTGGGAAACATGACGTTTCAACAAAATCAGTTTTTTAATGCAGTTGCAGGCCTCCTCAGAGCCTTTAGTAAGTTCATTCGGTCATTATTTCAAACAGGATTAATTGAGCGTGCTCTGTGTGCCAGGTGCACTGTGCTAGGCAGGAGAGAGACAGTAGGAAGAAACAATCACGATGTTTGACCTCTGGAGCAGGGCCCTGTCCACAGTGCTATTCTCGGTGCTGAGTGAACATTAGAATCACCTGGAGGGATCTCATGACCTAGCGATGTCAGGGCCCACCCCCAGAGGTTTTGATTCAGTTGGTTAACACTGGGTCTCAGACACCTGTATTTTTCAGAAGCTCCCTTGTGTGATTATCACGTGCAGCTAGGGCTGAGGGCCAGGTAAGCAGGGAAATGCTATCGGGGAGCAGTCCCATGCAGGGGGTTCGGCTGCAGTGAGGGTAAGAAGCAAGGAGACTGCTGTTGTCTAGGAGGGAGGGAGGGAGGGCTCCACCAGGCGAGAGGGATTTTAGTTGAAATCTGGTGGATGTGCACCGGTTACCTCAGTGGAATGGGCTGCGGTGGGGAAGACATCCTGGTGTCTATGCAAAGGCCCTGCGTAGGGAAAAGGCACATGATGACATTGGGATTTGGGGCCAGATGGCCCAGGGCATCCGGCAGTTCTGTCTCTCTGAGTGTGTTTCTTTATCCGTAAAAGAGGAATGATATTAGTCCCTGTCTATAGGTAGTGCTTACCTGAGCCTGCAGGAAGGAGTTTAGAATGGGAAGCCCTTTTGGCAGGAAATAATCACATGTGCTTTTTTTTTTTTTTTAAATGTTTTTTATTTATTTCTAAGAGAGAGAGAGAGAGAGACAGCGCGAGCAGGGGAGGATTAGAGAGAGAGGGAGTCACAGAATGAAACAGGCTCCAGGCTCTGAGCTGGCAGTCAGCACAGAGCCCGACGCGGGGCGCGAACCCACGAACCGCGAGACCATGACCCAAGCGAAAGTCGGATGTTTAACCGACTAAGCCACCCAGGCGCCCCTCACATGTGCTTTTTTAAAATGCATCCTGGTCTCTTGAGCAGACGGTAAGTTATACAGAGTCTGGTGTGATGTGCCTGGGTGATAGCTCGCACACCTTTACTAAGTACCTACCATGTACCCTGGGTTGTGGGGTCCAGAGGATGAATGGGACTCAGCTCTCACATTCACAAAGGTCATGGTATATTTTAAGTAGCATGGGGGTCTGAGAGGTGTCTTAGGGACCCTACTGCAGGGGGAGAGAAGGGAGGGAGAAGGAAGGATACTCTTCGCTCCTCCCCGACACACACACACGTAGCAAATCAGCTCCACTTGTATCTGTGGTGTAGACTGAACTTCTACATCATGGTCCCATTTGAGAAGACCAGCCCTAGACATGACATCCAGAAGTCCAGAGCCTCGTGTTCATGGAAAGTGTACCCAGTTCGGGGGCTCTCCATTCTTGGGGAGATAACTTTTCTGGGCTCCCTGCTCCTCCAGCAATGACGCTGAAAGAGCCCTAGAATCCTTTGCTGGATTCTAATACAAGAAGCTTGGTTTGGAACTAGAGTGGCCCATTGGCCCTGGGGCTCTTTCCATAGGGATTAGAGATAATCATCCCTACGTATTGAACACCTACTGTGTGTTGGAAGGATGTTCTAAATTTGATCCCACAGGAGTTCTATGTATGAATGGTGTTTATGCCAGTTTTCAGGTGAGGAAACAGTGCAGGGTTGGTAAGACCTCTAGGAAGGGTGAGAGGTGCCTGGGCGACTCAGTTGGTTCAGCGTCCACTTCAGCTCAGGTCATGATCTCACGGTTTGTGAATTCAAGCCCCGTGTTGGGCTCTCTGCTCTCAGCACAGAGTCCACTTCCACTTAGGATCCTCTGTCTCCCTCTCTCTGTGCCCCTCCCTCCCTCTCTCTCAAGAATAAAGAAACATTTAAATTTAAAAGGAAAAAAAATATTTTTAGGAAGGATAGAGCTAGAGTTTGAATGTGGGCTTCTCTGTTGAGTCTTCTTTACTTTACTTTTAATATGTCTGCTTCTCTCTAAATATCAGCCAGTGACCAAGGCTGGGCCCTCTTGGAAACTGGGAGTCATTGAAGATTATAGGGCCAGGGGTCCTAGTTCCTGAGGTTATTCTGGAATCATAGATTCTGTGCTAGCTTTTCTGTAAAGTATAGCGGTTAAGAAAGTGGGCTCTGGAGTTAGTTGAATCTCTCTTGCTCTGTCCCTTACCAGCTATGTGACTCAGGACATGTTACTTTCTCTATGCCTCAGTTTCTTGATCTGTTAGATGGGGGTACTATTAGTACCTAATTCACAGGGTTGATCGGAGGGTTTAGCGATGTAATCAATGGGGAGCCCTTAGAAAAGTGTCTGTCACACAATACATTTTTAAAAAAGATTATGACCCTATTGCTATTACTATTTGTATTAGTTTTCAGGGCAAGATACAGCACGCTGGGTGCCGTAAACAGCTGAGTTACTTGGGTGCCTGGGTGGCTCGGTTAGTTGAGCATTGGATTCTTGATTTCGGCTCAGGTCATGATTTCACAGTTTTATGAGTTCAAAGCCCAAGTTGGAGCTTGGGATTATCTCCGCCCTCTCTCTCTCCCCCTATTCCACTCATTCTCATTTTCTCTCTCTCTCTCTCTCTCTCTCTCTCTCTCTCTCTGAAAATAAATAAACTTAAAAAAATTAGCAATTTATTGTCTCACAGTTCTGGAGGCTGGAAGTTCCGAGATCAAGGTGTGGACAGGGCAGGTTTCTTCTGAAGCTCTGTTTTTGGCTTGTGGATGGCCTCCTCCTCCCTTTGTCCTCACGGGGTCTTCCCTGTGTCTGTGTCCTAATCTCTTGTAAAGGCACTAGTCCTGGGGCGCCTGGGGGGCTCAGTCAGTTGAGCATCCGACTTCGGCTCAGGTCATGATCTCACAGCTCATGAGCTCAAGCCTGATGTCGGGCTCTGTGCTAACAGCTAAGAGCCTGGAGCCTGCTTTGGATTCTGTTGTCTCCCTCTCTGCCCCTTCCCTGCTCGTGCTGTCTCTCTCTCCCCTTCAAAAATAAATAAACATTAAAAAAAAAAAAGACACTAGTCATATTGGATTAGGACCCACCCTAATAACATCATTTTAACTTAATCACCCCTGCAAGGACCTTATCTGAAAATACAGCCGCTTTCTGAGGTCCTGGACGTTAGGGCTTCAACAAGGACCCAGCTCAGCCTGTAACAAGGTTGGCACTATTGTTTGCCCCTCCCCCATCCTCCACTGGGGTGCTTCTCTTTCTCTCTGCCTGACTTGGTGGGGCTCTCTCTTCCCTCCTGGCCCAGAAATCGCAGCCAAGCGCTCAGCTCCGAGGCGAGCGTGGATGAAGGTGGCGTCTTTGAGAGTCTGAAGGCAGAGGCGGCCTCCCCACCTGCGCTCTTCTCCGGCCTCCCCGGCCTCCCGGCGGGCAGCCTGCCCACCGCCCCGTTCCCGTCCAGCCTGGTTCTGGGGGCGTCGGCCGGGGGCGGGGACGTGTTCATCCAGATGCCAGCGTCCAGGGAGGAGGGCGGGGGCCGGGGCGAGGGGGCCGCCTACCACCACCGCCAGCCCCTCCACCACTTCCACCATGGCGCCCACCGCGGGAGCTCGCTGCTGCAGCACGTGGGCGGGGACCACCGTGCTCACTCCGACGAGGGGGGCGACGAGCAGCCGGGGACGCCCGCCCCCGCCCTGTCCGAGCTGAAGGCCGTGGTCTGCTGGCTCCAGAAGGGCCTGCCCTTCATCCTGATCCTCCTGGCCAAAGTGTGCTTCCAGCACAAGCTTGGTGAGTCCTGGGGGTCACAGGGGTGTCAACCGGGGGCTTCACCTACGGGGGGCGGCTTCGCCCCAAGTGCCAGGGCAAGGCAGTAGAGGCCCCCATGGTGCACGGCGCTTAAGATTGTGGGGTTCTGAGTAAGACCTGGGTTCCGATCCTGGCCGACCAGCCATGTGACCTGGGACAAGTCACTCACCTTCTCTGAGCCTGTTTCCTCCTCCGTGCTGGGGAGGTTGGCATTCGTCCAGCAGAAACTTTGCTGCTTGGTTGGTCTAAAGCAATAGAGGGTAGTGACTTTTTAATGTGGCTCGCGGTCCCCAGTAAGCCAGGGCCAGGCCTGGTACGTCTGAGCGGGTGCTGTCGGACCCTTCTCTGTCCCGCAGGCATTGCCGTGTGCATCGGGATGGCCAGCACCTTTGCCTATGCCAACTCCACACTGCGAGAACAGGTCTCTCTGAAGGTGAGTCACCTGGCGGATTAGTCTCTGAGGCTGTTGGGGTGCGCGAGTGCAAACCCAGTGGCTGAACAATACGGATTTACTCCCGTGTGGTTCTGGGGGTCGGAAGTCTGAAGTGGGCCTCTGCGGGTGAGGACCAGGTGTCAGCACAAGTGTTCTTCCAGAGGGTTCAGAGGAGACCCCTGCCTTGCCTTTCCCACGTGCTAGGGGTCGCCCACATTCTCTGGCTCATGGCCCCTTTCCTCTTCCTTTGAGCCAGCAGCATTGCACCTCTGTGCCCACCTGCCTCTAGTCCTTTCTCCCTGGGACTCCCCCTTCTGTCTCCTCTTCCACTTCTAGGGACTCTAGTGACTACATCGGCCCCAGCTGGAAAATTCTGGAGTCTCTCCCCATCTCAGGGTTAGCTGGTTAGCAGCCTCACTTCCCCTTTGCCACGTGAGTGAACACATCCACAGGTTCCAGGGGTTGGGACGGGGTCTCTGTGGGAGGCTGTTCTGCCTGCCGCCCCTGGACAGATGGCCTGCCATGCCTCTCCCACACCTTTCCAACAGCAGGGTCTGCCCCGGCGTGCCCATGGCACCCATATCTGCCTGGCTGCTCTCGCAGTGAAGGCCATCCCGCTGGCGCTGTTGGGGGGCCGTACAGCTTCACCGCCGTCATCCCGGACCCACCTTTAGACCAGCAGGTTGATTAACACCATAGTGGGACACTTCTAGGGCTGCCTCTCTCTCGAATGCAGTAACATCCAAGTGGTGCCATGGCTTACATTTTAGGGGGCAAAAGAGTGCCTGTATCCATCGATAGGCATTCCAGGTAGGGACCCTTGAACCCTGTGAAGACAGGTGACGTTTTGCCCACCTGTACGTATTTTCTGTGAAAGCGATTCTCCATGACCCTTAGCAAGTTTAGACATCTCCACTTCCTGCTAGAGAACTCTCCCTTTTGTCCTTCAGAGTTTGGCTTCTCACGGCATTTTGCTAATTCTCTTTGTATTCCACCTCTGGCTTGGATTTGCGGGGGGATTAAGCTGGAATCCATTATTTATTGGAGTCAGAAGGGCTGCTGAATAGATTATTCACATTGATAAGAGCCATTGGATGGTGGGAGGTGGTTTCTAGGGTCATTAACCTTGACCACGCCTGGAATAATGGGTGGATGGAGATGCATTCATTTTGTCTACTCTGTGGAAATGTGCTTTGTAACCGTGCACGGAGCACTGATCTGTGTCTAGAGATGGTGGAGCATTTACCAAAACCGCAGGGAAGAGTACGCTGAGGAAATGATGACCTCATCTTATTCCAGCAATGCAGCCGCCCTGGTCCAGGAAAAGAGGAGCTTTTAAGACTCAGCAGCACAGGGGTCTGCGTGTGTGTCTTCTCAGAGTACAAGCACCCTGCTCTGCACCTTCTCCACAGATTGCCTGGGTTCGCTCTCAGGTGGGGAAGCTGCCAGGAAACAGGGTACCAGAAGCTTTTCCTTCTGGTCTTCCTGGGGACTAATCAGAAACGAGGCTAGAGAGGGGCGCCTGGGGGCCTCAGCCGGTTGAGTGTCTGACTTCGGCTAAGGTCATGATCTCGCGGCTCGTGAGTTCAAGGCCTGTGTTGGCTTCTGTGCTGACAGCCCAGAGCCTAGAGCCTGCTTTGGGGTCTGTGTTTCCCTCTCTCTGCCCTCCTCAACTCCTGCTTTGTCTCTCTCTCTCTCTCTCAAAATAAATAAACATGAAGAAAAAAAGAAATGAAGCCGGAGAGAGAAATAGGGATGACTTGAGCAAAGACTTTGATGGCCTCCAGTACAAGCTTGAATTTAACCCTATAACCGTGGCCGTATGTTGAATGGTCAGGCCAGGATAGTGGCCCAGAGGTCATGCTAGAAAAAGTGGGAGCAGAACTTGCCAGCCTGTAGGTCTGCATCTGCTGCTGGGTTGTAAAGTCTGAATAATAGGTCCTACGGTTCATCGAGCCTGAAACACAAACCCACGGCAGGCTGAATGTTTACCTTGAAACTGTACTTAACCCTTAGCAAAACTCTCATCCTCAAATGAGGGCACGGAGGGTTAGAACATGTGCCCCTGAGCAAGAGCTCTTTACCTTCTCTGGGCCTCAGTTCTTTACACAAAGCGTGAACTAACATTTACCATGTACAGCACTGTTCTAAGCATTCCGTGCACATCGATTCTCACGAGTCCATTATGGAGACACAGTATATACCCATTTTCCAGATGAGGAGAGGGAAATGCAGAGAGTTTCAGTAGCTTGCCCAGCCCTCTGATTACAGACTAAGGGTTTGAACCCAGGCCGTTCAGCTTCAGAAGCTGTGCTGCCAACTGTAATGCCTTCCTGCCATTTCACATAACAGGTTTCTACATTTGTGTGGGGGGGAGGGTGGAGAGACAAGAGACAGAGAGAGAGAATCTTAAGCAGGCTTCAGAGCCCGATCCATGAGATCCGTGATCCATGAGATCACGACCTGAGCCGAAATCAAGAGTCAGATGCTTAACCGACTGAGCCACCCAGGTGCCCCCACGTGTTTCCACATTATGTCACCTTCTCTGTGACCACCCCTTGGGTTCCAGTGGGATGGGAAGATGCCAGTGCCCTTCCCTTCACCATCAGCCCTGCTTCTTCCAAACCTTTGAGAAAGGGGAAAATTGGCACTTGTCAGAGAACATTCTGGAATGTTTTGCCATGTGCACCTTAGGCATTGCAGCAGCCCTACAGATCTCTTGCTTTGTCTCCAGGAGAAGAGGTCGGTGCTAGTCATCTTGTGGATCTTGGCCTTTCTGGCAGGAAACACCCTGTACGTGCTCTATACGTTCAGTTCCCAGCAGCTGTACAACAGGTGAGTAGGGGGTGGGGGCCTGACCCCTAGTGGGAAAGTGGGGGGTACTTTGCTGGGCTTGGGACACACAACTCCTACCCATGAGAACAGTGCACTGGCTCCGTGTCACTTACCTTTTAAATTCCACCCTCTTGTGCACATGCGTGCTAGAGCAGAGCCCTCTAGGAGAAATACACTGCAAGCCAACATGTGTGATTTTACATTTTCTAGTAACCACACTGTGGGGAGGTGGCGGAGGGTTGGCCAGTGAAGACCTGCAGGACTGGGTTGAAAGTCCAGCCAAGCTTTCAAATCATGCACATCGGTTTTACAAATGGACTTTGAGGAATGGGTAGTTTCCCCAGTTCCTGGGGCCACCCCATAAAAGCCCTTTGGAGAGTTAGTTCTAAGGCATCAACACGCATCGCACACAACGCATTCTTGTCTGGCCCAGAACATCAGGGTCCTGATGGGTGGAGGGTGGAGGAGGTGGAGTTTCCCAGAATCTTGGATGAATTTCCAGCTCATGCCATTCTCTGGGCATGATCACATTCACAGGCTCAGACCTCCATGCCCCCATCAAACCAGAGCTGAGTCAAACTGGCGGCAGAGAAAGGGGGGTGTGGGGAGAGAGAGAGAGAAGCTTAGGAGAAGAGCAACAAAGCTGAGCCCCCTTCTGTAATGACATCAGTGGTCTAGAGCGTCTTGTGGTACCCACAGCTGTCACCTTATTTTACCCTTGCAGTGACCTGGCAGGGTATTGATGGCCCCATTTCACAGGTGAGGAAACTGAGGCTTAATGAAGTTTTTCCTAACGAGCCTTCATCCTGCTAGGCGGCCCTTCACAGCAAGACTGAATCATCCTAGGATTTGAAATCTGATGACCTGCACTCTTCCACTTTCCTGCCTTTGCACTTCAGCAAATAATGAAACCTCCTTATGCCTCGCCCAGTTTCCTCATTTGTAGAACCTGGACCAGGTTATTGTTGCCTTATCCACCCGACAGACTAATTATCAGGAAGGTCAAATGCTACAGTGCATGAAAAATACTGAAACTGAAACACGATGTATCTTAATCCTTTCCTGATTGATACTATTCTTTTATAATAAATTACTATGCCTATTTGGGGTAGTGCCTAATGAGGAGCAAAACTGACAGTAAAATACATCAGTCCATTAAAGTTCATAGGGCACGTTAGAAATAAGTGGACTTAGTGATCAGACTGCAGAAACGCTTTGGCCCCATCCCTCCTTCAAAACCCACAACAGGAGAGACCCCCTAAGGTGGTGAACTGAAACCCAGATGGATGAGTCTAAGACCAGCCGGGGTCTCCGGGCTGAGTGGAAGGCAGATCTTAATGTATTGCCATCAGAGACGTGTAATAGAGAAGCAGAGCGTAGAAGTCAGCTACCCAGCCCCAGATCCTGGGGAGGGACAGGAGCAGAGACAAAGGTCACCTGGGGCTGCCGGACTCTCCCGGGATTGTAACACAGAGAGCCCCTCAAACCTGGAGACGGAAGGTATCAGGTTAGGTTGCCAAGATAGATTGTTTTCATTTATTTACTTTATTTTTTAATGTTTATTTATTTTTGAAAGAGAGACAGAGTGCGAGCAGGGGTGGGAGAGCAGAGAGAGAGAGAGAGGGAGACATAGAATCCGTAGCAGGCTCCAGGCTGCAAGCTGTCCGCACAGAGCCTAGTGCAGGGCTAACTCATAGACCTCGAGATCATGACCTGAGCCGAAGTCAGCTGCTTAACCGGGCGCCCCTGATTATTTCTCTTGATTTTGCCCTACTCTAGCTCCTTGAGAATCTTTGTTATAAATAGGAATGGATTTTTAAAAAATAAATAAAACCAGACCAGTTTGGGGTGCCTAGGTGGCTTAGTCGGTTAAACATCTGACTCTTAACTTCGGCTTAGGTGATGATCTCATGGTTCGTGGGATTGAGCCCTGTGTCCGGTTCAGCACTGACAGCGCGGAGCCTGCTTGAGATTCTCTGTCTCTTCTCTCTCTGCCCCTCCCTCACTCTCAAAATAAACAAATAAATTAAAAAAAAAACCACAAAAAACAGACCAGCTCATTCCTAGGAGGCTATAAGGGAGCCCTGTTTGCACTACTTCCTGCCAGCCCAGCAGAGCATGTCAGAAGCATTCAGAAAGCATCCACGCTGGGCTGCGTGCACTGTTCCTGCTTTACAGAGGACAGAGAGGACTTGGTATGGCCTTGGCTCAGAGCCTCCAATCTAGCAGGAGGAAAAGCAAGCAGACGAGCACAGTTTGGATGCTGGTTCCTGGTCTGGCTCCCATTCTAGCCCAGAGCCACAGGCAGGCAACTGTACCTCTTAGCGCCCCCGTTTCCCCAGCTCAGATTAGAACAATCACAGTGCCTACCTCCTAGACTCTTTGGAAAAATGAAATGAGTTAAGACATGTAAAAAGCGTAGAGGAGGCCAGCATGATGGAAGCAGCCAAGATGTTTTAGCTTTTAGGTTATTATGAATAACATCATCATCCTCTGGGGGTAGAAAGCAGTGCTACTCAAAGTGTGGTCCATGGACCGCTCGCAGTTTGAGAATGGCTTGATGTCCGTGTTTAACAAGGTAAGTACAGAAGCTGAGCGTGACGTTAACTTACCTGGTTCCAAATGGGTAGAATGGGATACGCACTCTGAGTAGCACTGCTGTGGAATAAAGATGGAAAGCACTGACTGTAGCCAGTATTCCCGAGTCTGAATCTATCTCTGTCCCTTAGTATTTGTAGGACTTGGTGCATGTTACTTTATCTTTTGGTGCCTCCGTTTCCTCACCTGTAAAATGCGGCAGATTAAATAGTGCCTACCTGTGGAGTTGCTGTTATTGTCACTGCCGCACCGCAGGGTCTGTAGTGTGTCTGTTATCTCATTGAATCCCACCTGAAGGAGGGAATGAGTCCCATTTTGCAGATGAAAACACTGAGCCTTAGATAACATTATTTGCCTAGGGTCCAATAAATGGAGAAAACCAGATTCAAATTGAGGTCTGATATTAATGCCCGTGTGCTTTTCATGCAGTGTGACCTTGGGCAACTTCCCCTCTCCAACTTCTGGGCCTCATTCATAAATTGGGAATGAGCAGTGTCCACTGTGCAGTACAAAGAGGTACAGTAAGTAAGTAGTTTAGCACAGTGTCTGCACACGAGTTTCTCTCCTCCCTGTACAGTGCTGGCCAGCCTACCTGCTCGCCTCCCTTTTGTTTCCTCTTGTGAAGCCTGTTTGTGAACTCCTAAAACTGGGGGAGACCTTAACTAACGATGCTCCTGGCCAATCTCATTGCATAGCCCTCAGGGGAACTGAGGCTGAGAGAGGTTAAGATACCCACCTGAGGGGGCGCCTGGGTGGCTTAGTCGGTTGAGCGTCCGACTTTCGCTTAGGTCATGATCTCGCGGTTCGTGGGTTCGGGCCCCGCGTCGGGCTCTGTGCTGACTGCCAGCTCAGAGCCTGGAGCCTGTTTCAGAGTCTGTTTCTCCCTCTCTCTCTGACCCTCCCCTGCTGACGCTGTCTCTATCTCTCCTAGAAATAAATAAATATATTTAAAAATAAAACCTGCTAACTTTTAAAAAAAAAAAAAAAAAAAAAGATACCCACCTGAGGTCACGCAGCATCTTAGTAGCAGATTCAGAAACAGGACACAGATATCTGGCTCCCAGGTCAGTGCTCTTTTCTGTAGGGTATATTTACAGAGCTCCCAGAGTGAGGAGAAGGAGCTTCTAGGGGCCCGGGATCCTAGGTGACCATCCTGACTCTCTGTAACCCCACCCCCCCGCCCAGCCTCATATTCCTGAAGCCCAACCTGGAGACGCTGGACTTCTTCGACCTGCTGTGGATCGTGGGCATCGCAGACTTCGTGCTGAAGTACGCCACCATCGCCCTCAAGTGCCTCGTCGTGGCCCTGCCCAAGATCATCCTGGCTGTCAAGTCCAAGGTAGGCACTGGCTGCGGCCACGAGGGAGCCCAGTCGCTCCCTCACGCCGGGGACTCGGGCACCTTCTGGGTCAGGAAAGAATAGACCCGGGCAGAACAAATGCCGGCGTATAAAATACACAGAGCCCGTCACCCACGTCTCACAATTCCCCGGGCCTGAGCCTGGCTTCTTCTTGTCCCCACCATCCTTTGCTCTCCAAGGACACTTCCTGTTTCCTTGTTCACAACTGCCCTTGGTGCAGTTTTCATCAGAGTCTCGCCTGAGGAAGGAAAAAAGCGTGTTGACGCATCCTGCTGCTCCCGGGAAGGGTGGCTTTCGTGGGTGTCCACTCTGTGGCCTCAGGAGTGTTTTCACGGGAAGGGTTCTGAGGCTCAGAAGAAATGAGCTCCGTGAGGGATTAGTGATGTCTGCCACGGACACAGGACCGGACACGGCACAGGTGCTTTGCCTGCAGGGGAAGGTGTGCCGACAGGTTGGGGTGGAGAGGTCTTGGGGGATAACTATGGTCATTCAGAGGACTGGGCGGAGCTAGGAGAAGGCAGCACCTCTGGGATGTATTGAACGCCTGGGCCTCAGCGGGAAGGCCTGTGGGGGGAATGTGGATAGAGGCGGACGTGCTGGAGACTGTCTGGAGACTCTTCCTTCGTATTACTATTCTGTAAGAGTAGCCATCTTTTCAACTTCAGAAAGCTCAGAATTTGGGGCACCTGGGTGGCTCAGTCGGTTAAGCATCCAACTCTTGATTTCAGCTCAGGCCAGGATCTCACGGTTGTGAGTTTGAGCCCCGCGTCAGGCTCTGCTCTGACAGCATGGAGCCTGCTAGGGATTCTCTCTCTCCCTCTCTCTTTGCCCCTCCCCTGCTCACAAACTGTCTGTGTCTTTCTCTCAAAAATAAATAAATAAACATAAAAAGAAAGAGAAAGAAAAGAAAGCTCAGAATTCACCCCAGGCGTTGGTTGGCAGGAGAGCAGGTTGGAATTGACCATCCATCTTGAGTGCGCCCAGAGCCCGATGCCAGGTGCATAGGAAAAACACTGCTGTGTCCCTTCCTTACTCGCGCGCTCAGTACTTCTGTCCCCAGGTGTGTGGGTTTCCCACACATCAGTTCTCCGACGCCAGCTGGGTGCCCTGCAGTTCAACTCACTTCTGACACTGTCCACCTGGAGATAGCGTCAGATCCCACAGGTTAAGAGCTCAGTCCCACACGACTGTCCCCACCCCACTTCTGACACTCATTGCTAGTCCAGATTGTCACTGGTGCTTCTGACCGACTGGTTAGAAATCAGGGTGTGCACGACCTACTCTTTGGGTTCAGTCATTTGCTGGAATAGCTCACGGAACTCAAGGGTAGTGCTTACTTTCGTTTACCCGCTTATCAGATAATAAAGGACATGGTAAAGGCTACCGGTGAACAGCCAGGTGAAGAGGCATGAAGGTGAGGTCTGGAAGGGTCCTGAGCACGGGAGCTTCTGTGCACCACCCTCCTGACCTGTAGACGTGTTCTCAGAAATCCTGCGCTATTGGGATTTTTGTGGACACTGCATCACACAGGCATGATGGGTCATAACTCCATTTCTAGCCCCTCTCCCCTCTCCTCTCTCCCCTTCCCCTTCCCCTCTCCCCTCTGCCCTCTCCCCTCTCTGGAATAAGGGAATTGGGGCTGAAAGTCCTAAGCTTCTGACCATGGCTTGGTTTTCCTGGTGACCAGCTCCCATCCAGGAGCCTACCAGGAGTCACCTCACTGGACCCAAAGATACTGCCGGAAACGCCAGAGGATTTAGGAACTCATTATCAGCAATCGGGGACAAAGCCGATAGATCTGTTTCTTATTATCTCAGACCAGGGCAGGCTGAGTCCGGTTCTGTCCCCCACATCGCACTCCCCTCCTCCCCACCACGTGGTTTACTCGGGTGAACCAAAACCCTCGGCTGTTGTGGCTTCCTCAGCTGCAGCCACAGCTCTGGGGCCAGAGGCTGCACCAGGAAGCCTAAAATGACATAAAGACAAAGAAGAGACAGGGAGAAGAAAGACAGAAGGGAAACAACGGACCTCAAGAAGTCCTGAGATGCCTCCCCACCCACCCCCCGGAGACCATTGTAACCATTACCATTTGCCCCCATCTCACGCCGCGTACCAAGTAGGCGGCAGGGACTTGACAGTGGGAAGCGGCGTGGCCCGATGGCTACACACGTGGACTTTGGCATTGGGCACATCTACATTCAGATCCCAGCTCCACGCCTTCTCAGCTGTGTGATCTTGGGCAGATGATGAAACCTCTCTGAGCCTTCATTTCCTCATCTGTCAACTGATAACAAGAATGCACCTTCCTCCTAAGTACTTAGAACTAAGTACTGTGGCTGGTAGGAAATGGGAAATGCTTTTCCCCAGGCCTGGCATGTAGTAAGCACTCAGTGATTCACAACACTTCTTGGTGTTGTCTAGTCATCACAACCAACAGCTGTGTGACCTTGGATGAGTTACTTAACCCCTCTGTGCCTCAGTTTCCTCATCCGTAAAATGGGGATAATTAATTGTGCTGGATGTCTTCCTCTTGCCCCTCTAGATACCCTGTCCACATTTCTTTCCCACCCTGCTGTCTACCCTGGAAGCTGGCCTGGGTGAACTGTGCCCACGGACTCCCATGGCCCCCAGCTTCCAGTTGGGTTCACCAGTGGAAAGCCTGAAAGGAGAGAGAGGCAGAGGCATTTATTCCTCTAGCGTATTCGTCTCCTACGGCAGCTGTTACAAACTGCCACGTAAATTTATTGTCCGGTGGTTCTGGAGGTCAGATTTCCAAAATGCGTTTCCCTGAGCTAAAGTCAAGGTGTTGTGTTCCTTCCTCCATCCCCAGAATCCGAGTCCTTCTCTCCTTTCTGTCCCTGCCCTCTGCTTCTGTCGTCACGTCTTCTCCTGCCTCTGTGTCCTGGACCCTCATGAGGATGTTGAACCCACCCAGAGAGTGCAGGACGATCTCCCCTCCCCGAGGCCCTTCACTTACACCCAGCTGCAGAGTCCTCTCTGCCACGGAAGGTAACGTGCCACAGCTTGTGGGGATCAGGATGTGGGCGTGTTCCAGGTCGGCGCGGTTCTAAGTGCTTTGTATGCAGTAGCTTGCTGGATCTGCACGACTCCATGAAGTAGGCAGTGTCATCACTACTGTCCCCTTCACAGTTGTGGGAAACAGTTCTGAACACACAGGTCCCATTGTGGGCAGCCCCCCACAGACAGCTTCCTGTCAAGGTCTAGTAACTACACTCTCCTCACCGCTTCCGAGCGAGGCGGGGGGGTAACAGCTCCCAACCCGTGGGAGCTTCTCCTCGCTGGCTACCTGCCCACACCTTTGTAAAGAGCAGACGTAGTCAGCTCTTACCCGATGAATAAATGGTCAGAAGATTTAAACACCCTTCCCCAAAGCAACTCTCCTGGTGGCGGCCACGCACAGGAAAAGATGTTCGGGCTCATTAGTGACAGTGAAAACGAGTGTGTGAGATGCTACACTCCTGCGTGGTGGTGGCCGCCACGGGGAGGCCGGACCGCACCACGTGTGGGCACGGCTGTGGAACAGCTGGAGCTCGCACACGAGTTCCAGGGACTGTAAGTGGCACATCCACTTTGGCAGCCAGTTTGGCAGTTTATCGAAAGGTTGAGCATAATGCGTGCCGTACAGTCCGGCCCTTCCACCCGTTGGTGCTCGCACAACAGCAGTGAAGCCACGTGTCCATGGAAAGACTTCTGTGTGAGCGCTGCTACGGCTTTATTTTAGCCACACACCAGAAATCATCCACAGTTCCATCAGTAGGCGAACTAAGCAGGGTGCCCAGGGGGCTCAGTCAGTTAGGTGTCTAAATTCAGCTCAGGTCATGATCTGGTGGTTTGTAGGTTCGAACCTCATCGGGCTCTGTGCTGATAGCTCGGAGCCCGGAGGCTGCTTCGGATCCTGTGTCTCTCTCTCTCTCTGGTGCTCCCCACTTGCACTGTCTGTCTGCTCTCTCTATCTTTCTCAAAAATAAATACAGGTTAAAAAATAGGCAGACAGATCAACGAATTTTGGTGTATCCATGTAACGAAATATAACCCAGCAATGTAAAAGGATGAACTCAAGTTGACTGTTGAACGACAAAAATTGAATCGCTCATACACGACCTTTTTCTGATAAATACAGCATGATACTGTCAATGTATTTTCCTCATTTTTTTTTTAATGTTAACTTATTTTAGAGAGAGAGAGCATGAGTAGGGGAGGGGCAGGCTCCAGGCTCCGAGCTGTCGGCACAGAGCCCAATGCAGGGCTCGAACCCACGAACTGCAAGATCATGGCCTGAGCCAGAGTCAGATGCTTAACTGACTGAGCCACCCAGACACCTCTCCCTATAATTTTCTTAATATTATTTTTTTCTCTTGTTTACTTTATTGCAAGAATACAGCGTATGATATAGACAACATACATGTAGCTGTCAGTCGACTTTATGTTATCAGTAAGCCTTGTGGTCCACAACTGTAGGCTGTTTGTAAAGTTTTCGGGGTGTCAAAAGTTATATGCAGACTTCTGCACAGAAGTCAGTATCCCTAGACCCCTGCATTGTGGAAGGGTCAAGTGTATTGATACAAACAACATTAAATGAATCTTAAAGTACTTAACAGTTATGCTAAGTGAAGGAAACCATGGCAGCAAAGAGTGTACCTTGTGATTCCACTTCTAAGTCTAGAAAACGTAAACTGACCTGTAGTGATGGAAAGCAGATCTGGGATTGGCTGAAGGGACCAGAGGGAAGATTGCCAAGGGGCACAGGGAACTTCTTGGGGTAACAGATACATTCACCGTCTGGATTGTGGGGACGGTTTTGCGGGTGTGTACATATAACAGACCTATCGAATCTCACACTCTAAGAGAAGGAGCCACTGCTACGTCTACGCTGCTTCTGTCCGAGCTCCTCCCCAGCATGGGCTGCTGTGGTTAGAGGCTCCTCCTTGGGGCCTCCACTCAAAACTCACTTCTAGGGG